TCAGTATATATAGTCCTAAAATATATCTATCCTAATTACAGTTTTTTTTCTTTTTCATTTTTTCAGTGCACCCTATAAAATTAGCACACTGGTTCATTAGTAAAAAAAAAATGTTCCTGATCTGTATATCTGAAATTATATGATCAAGCTTAACATAACATCCTTTGACAGGTGAAGGAGGACTGGAAATATGTCGCCATGGTGCTGGATCGGTTGTTTTTATGGATATTCACCCTGGCGGTGTTGGTAGGCACAGCAGGCATCATCCTCCAGGCACCTACCCTCTATGACGATCGTTTACCCATTGATATTCAGTATTCAGAAATTGTTACTGTTGCAGATCGCAACATACCCAAACCAAATCTTAAACCTAACTAGTATAATGACACACAGTCACACTGAGTATTGTAGACAATTATGTGAAAACTTATCCACCTCAGACTCAGAAAAAAATATGACAATGTTTGCAAGGAAAAGCAACTTGATTTTTATTTTAATTGAGCATCTAATTAGTTTGGGAAGTCATAATGGTTTTGAAGAGTTGAAAACAGAAAGCTTGAATCATATGATATATCGTGGAAAATAGATGGTTAGACAAAAGGCTTCTAAGTTACATACAGTCCTATGTAATTTTTTATGATAAGCATGTGTTATTAAACATGTGGAATGTAATTTGCTCATATATCCAGTTTTGTGAGACAGTGACTCTTGTACCATTTTTGTAAGAAAATTGAAATCTTCAGTCACAGCCTGATGTTCGCTATCAATAAATAAAAAATCCAGCATGGCCACAACGATATGAAAAGCTCAAAGAAGATAATACTCAAGCATTCAGACATTTTTAGTTTAAGTTTCAAGTAATCCTGGCTATGTGCTGGCACTGGCATCCTCTGTTTTTACCTCTGCACAAGAACCCTTACAGAGATCATTGCTCAACTGCTTAAAAATGGAGCAGCCATTATATGAAGATTGCTTTGCTAACTTATGGAAAAGGTGTGTAGATCATGAAGGACAGTGAAGACATTGATAACTTGATCTTAGAAGTGACAGTTTATAAATCGGGGAAAAGAACATCCCAAAATTTGAGAAGAATGAAAGCAGGATTGGAGATGCAGCTGATTTTAAGAAGGAAGTTAATTTTCTTCTTTCCAGGGTAAGTTTCTTGCATGGCAAATTTTATTCCTAAAGGTTCCATTGTGACTTTTTATAAAGAAATCTTGATCTACCAAGCAATGGAAATATGTAAGGGCAAGAAAACAGTACCGGTAATTTTTTCACTCGTGTATGTTTGTGAGATGTATGTATTTTATAATTATGTTCCACCATTTGTATACTGTAAATACGAGTTATTCCAAGAAATGTAGGTGTAGATAAAAAGAGATTATGAATTAGTTAAGGAAAGTTCTCTTGAGCAGATGGATATTGTATGCTCCTTTCATGATTTTTGGCTGCCTCACCCAGAATATAACTGTCTAGTCTCCGAGAACTATTGGGTATCCACCTGAATAAAATATATATCTTACTCCAAAGAAAAGGATTGAATTGTAAATATTGTAACCTAGCAATACTGGTGCATACATGTTGGTGCCAAGAAAATTGCAAGACTTGTAATGCATGGGCACTGAATGGGTTTTACCAAAGGTGAAGATATTTTTCTGAAAGTATGTCCCATTTTGAGATAGGCTATATATTGCATGAAAATTTAGGATTGCAAAAGGATTTACTTTAGCCAAGTCAGTTAGAAGCAAATAATAGGAAAATGTTTAATTTGTTGCTGTAACAGTGGTCTTTCTTCTAAAAGCACAATATCAGTGTTCCTGATAAAGACAGTATTGTCCATGACAAAAAAGTAACTGTAGTGATTACTTGAAATGTTTAATTTTGCTTGTAACTGTCTAATAAAATTCTTTTTTTCCAGTAAAATAATATTTGTAATTTCTTAGCAATATGATGAACTGAGGCACAAGAAATCCAAGTGTTATTAGAAGTAGATAACAGAATTTTTGCTTTAAGGCTTTTTAATTACAATGAAATACATATCTGTCATTCATAAACTGTATTTTCTTGTATTTTAAGGCCTTGTTTGACATTTCTCACTAATTTGATGATTTTTGGGTAGCCTTCTTAAATCATACATCATGTACCTTAAGAGAATATTGGATTTCAGAGCTACAACAAGTAAATTAATGCATTATTCAAATTTGTCTTTTTGTATTCCATTTATATACTACCATTTTAGTATTTCGTTTAGGTCTGAGGTAAAGAAGTATGGATTTTCCTGAAGGTTGGAATGAAATACTCTTTGAAGGATTTATTTTATCTTGTGATAATGTGTATGAAGTTGTCAGGAAAATATTGATTCATTTTATGATTTGAGCCTAGTCTATTAACCCAGTGGTGCCCGTTTATCATACTGTCTATTGTCATTTTCTTTTGTGAATTCTGTTTGCACCTAGATGGCTCCACAAGTGCTCACCCATCAAAGAGCCAATTAATAACCTTATGTGTCCTCAGTTGATTTCCCCTTTTCTTGATTTTTTTTTCTTCTTTTTTTTTCAGAAAAAAATTTAATGCTATTATTGAGGAATAGGGTAAACAGGTAAGTCAGATAGGACTTGTAACTGGCTCCTTGGTAATGATGCACTTGTATAGCTATTTATGTGTAAAGACAATCAATAAATAAAAAGATACAGTGGAAATGGCATGTATTCTTGCCATCCTGGCAACTATGGGTTAACACAAGGGTTGTGATATGCTTGGGAAAAACATCTAGATCTGAAACCCTAGCTGATGAGTGGAACATTTACCTATGAATATACATCAAAATACTTTTACCAAATGGTTTGATTTTTGTACCAATACTTACCCTTTTAAAAATAAAAACTGCATAGAGACAGAAAGTAAATAGAGAAAAGGACCACTTTGAGTTTTTTTTTTTTTCTTTCTTTCTTTCTTTTTTTTTTTGGGGGGGGGAGGGTGATGCAAGAATGCAATGGTTTTCATTGCTACTGTCTAAGCACAGATATTCTTTGCAAAATTCTGTAATTCATTATCAATTTCTTCAACAATAAAAGCTAGAAACCATAATGTTTGTGTCAGCAGAGGTAACCGCAGACACAAAACATTTATATAGCACCTGGTTACATGCCTTAGAGATATCGTCAATGATTTGCCTGTTTTCCGGTTTTTCTTTTGATTGTAACAGATGTTTCTTTCTTTTTGGGTTGATGGAATTTATGGGGTGAACAGAGTTTTTTCAACTATTCAGTATCCACTGTTATTTGAATTTACTTAAAATATTAAAGATTTCTATGATTAGTCATAGTTGTGAATTTAGAGACAGTTTGATTAAATAACTGTAAATTAAAGTATTTGCTGCAGTCTGCTGCAATTGTAACAACTGATATTTGTGGTCTAAGACAACTGCAATCAGCAATTGCTATAGAGATTTTTAGAGCTCATGCCCATGTATGTCTTGACTTAACTTGATTGATGCAGCTGCCATTTTTTTATTGGATGGCCAAATTTCTTAATTGCACAGGTCTTGTATCAATATTCTTTCTATATTACACTGGTAACACGAAGAGGAAGAATGCAATAAAGAGAACACCATTAGATCTACATAAGTGCATAAAAGATTTACTAGAATCTAATAATCTGATCTTAGTTTCCTTTACCGAAATCTGTATACAACAGACCCTCAGGGAACATTAATTAGTAGTATATTTACTTGGCATGTTTAGAAAAGAATATTTATTTGCCTTTAATATCAGTCATACCATAATATTAGTCACAGCTCCCTTTTTTCAAATTTCATGAATTAGCAGAAGTTTTTTAGGCAAAGAATTCTTTCTGTACTTTAAGTAGTATTAATGACAATAGATTTTTGACTGCCAACTGTAATATGTACTTTTGATTTATGTATACAATTTTATTTAGTTTGCTCATTGGGTAAATGCCCCATTATATATATTCATCAGTCCTTCCAGCACCAGGCTGGTACACATGGAGCCCTGTTGCCATACCACAGTGTTTATTTATTGAGATTATTGGTAAATCTTAGCTATGAAAATACCATTTGAAATTGAACAAAGATTGTCTATAGGATAAGTGCCACTAAATTTATATTTTGTGAGAAGTTGAAGTATGGTACTTGCCCTGACATGCTCAGGTTGTTTCATCATTTATAGCCATAAATAACACCTAATAGGGTCTGGTTATTCTCATTCTTTAATCATTCAAAGCTTTATAAATGATTTTCTTTTATAAAGAATGAAGGTTACTCACATGAAATAAAACATTAACTCCTCTTACTGTAGCTGCTGCAACTATGTGTATCATAGATTTTTAAAAGGATATTGGTTACTTGCTATGGCCATTAGTTAGTACTTAAGGTATAGGTATTTGTGAATAATTTGAAAATAAATTTGAAACTCAGTAGCCCTTGTACACTACTGGTTGATATGACGCAGTAATATTTGATAATTTTCTTGAAATTTCATAGTATGTCTTCATATGTAAAGTGTAAAGGAAAGGCTCTTCTGTTGGTTATTTCCTATATCCTTAGTTATTAGAGGTTCAAGTTACTAGTGTCTTTGTGATCCATGGATGAATTGCAGTGCTATTAATTGCATTTATTATTATTATTATTATTATTATCATCTAACCACTTAGAAGGTGTATGCTGACAGCATTAATAGTGTGAATGGGTAATTAAAGAAAACACAAGGATTCATTGAAAATTCATTTTTTTTAAGGATAGTGTTTTGATGCGTATTGATCTGTTTTTTTTTACAATCACTTTCCAGTTTCACTATTTGTCACATAAATATCTTCCATATATAATGGTACCATCCAGTCTCAGGTCATCATGAAATTGAGCAGATTTCTAGTTCTTAGATGATTATTTTGACTATCCTCACAAAATATTAGCATGACTCATTATACACAATCATTCAATCACTGACAAGATGATATCAACTATATACTTTGCATCGAAC